GCCACCCACAGTAAGGATGGGCCCTCCTACATCAATTCCAACTCAAGAAAATGCCTCAGAGACATGACCACAGGCTACTCCGATGAAAGAAATGCTTCAATTGAGGTTCCTTTGTCCCAGATGTATCAAGTTGACAACCAAGACTAGTCATCGCATCATCTAAATCATGATTGCAAAGTCCTACTAAACTTGACCCATGTGACATATTTGACCTCAATGCCTGGTTAGCACTCAGGCCCCACCTGGCTCTGTCTAGGGCCTTGTATTTTGGTTCTCAATAGACACGACCTCTTTACCTTTATGCAGATCTCTTTATCCACCCCACAGAACAGTACCTGGCCTTAATAGGCATTGAGAAGATATGGAGTGCACTAAAATATCAATTAATAGATAATTCATTCCATAGATGAATAATTTGTGTCCAATCGTGGTGACATAGAAGAATCTCGTCTTTCATGAGGATGACTGACAGGGTCAATTCCTTCTCAGTGCTCCAGCAGTGGGGTCAGAACCACAGTACAGTGTGATATGGAGAAGCTCCAAGCAGCTTCTCATCTGGTCTCATAGACAGGAACGTGTTCGCATCAGGAGACAGAATGCTAGCACAAGGACCCAAAGACTGACCAGGAACGGACCCAACAGAAACGGCAAGCAAGAGAGCATTGTCTTTAAGGGGACTGTGCACGTCATTAGAGTTGGACTGCGGAAGTGAAGTGTAACCATTTACAAATGTAGAAGTGAGTTGCAGGGGCCTGAGGCCAGGGGCAAGTCAGGATGGCGCCTAGAGGAAACGGCCTGGGCATGATCAGACTCGTTTGGCGCCTAGAGGAACCGGCCAGAACATGGCCAGACTTGTTTTGAAGAATTGCTGATTGGCTCCTGCCATTTCCTTGCATCTTGGCAGCGTGATCACCTCGCGAACGCTATGCTGTGCTATGGAGAGGAGACTGCACGCTCAAATTGACCTTTAATATGATTGGACACTTGGTTGGGGAGGGCATTTTCCTTTGTGGTTTTTGCCTTCATAAGCCCTGTAACACCTGTAATAAATGAGTTCCTGCTTGACTGGCTCCCTGTTGCATCTGATTATCTCCTGGGGAGGCTGTAGGTAACAGGCGGACAGCGCACTTCCCTTTCCCGGGCTCCTGTGTTGGGGCAGGATCCCCGACAGTGAGCATGGACCTGGTTAGGAAAGGCCTTATCTACCATGACTGATGAAACAGGGCAAAGGGGAAGCAGGCTGAGCAGTAGAGTCCCATGACCATATCTTTTTAAAGAAGATAATTATGGACCTAATGGCATAGATTGGCCATTCGCAAGCCCGGAGTCAGCAACATTGGATGAGATTTTATTGCTGCAGTTATAGACAGGAGATAAAGCCATCTCAACTGGAGGTCAGAGGAAGACAACAGGAGACTCAACTGGGCTAAGCTAGCAATGCTAAATGACTGTTCCTCGCAGCTATAAGAATTTGAAAGGACAAACGAGCTCACGAACTGTGCCCTGAGGTACCACCTGGCATCTCTATCGCATTGGATTCAAGAACAGCTGCTGCTAAGCATGGACAGATTCAATTTGTGAAAATGTTTTTCAGAAAACACCATCAAACCTGAAGAACTGACTGCAGGCATAGAGAAAGTCTGATGCTTTACACACAGCACAGCTGTGCTCGGTGTGTCCCTTCATTCATTCATTTAGTCACTGATTCATTCCTTACAGTATTTATTGTGTAACATCAAGTGACAGATTGTCTTTTCCCCAATGGTAGGCACCACTGGGGAGAAGATAAACCCTGACCTCACAGAAATTACACTGCATTAAGGATAAATCAAAATAAAGAGATGTCAGATGATAATTGATATGAAGCAATAGAAGGAGAGAAAATGTTAGAAATGCCAGGAAGAGGGTGAAGGCAGCTTAATATTGTCAGAAGAGGGACTAGATCGCAGGTGAAGTTGTGATGAGGGCTTGAGAGAGGTGTAGACTTCAGGCTGACAACTCCCAGCGTCGGAGGGCAGAGAGAATTCTTACCTACCTGCGGTGCTTCAACCTAAAATGTGTAACTGCTTTGAGGGCATCTTTTGTTTTAGTAGGGAACGGTGTGTTTCTTTCTGATTGGTCCCAGAGGAGCTGACGTGATTTCCCCTCAGACACACCTAGGATTTTAGAGCTTCTTAGAAATAGTGTCACCCCTAGAGGTGACACAAGAAAGTATCTCTCGGGCAAAGCTGACATTATTTGCAACCCTATGGGGAGCCAACAGCAACTATGGTTTCTTTTAGACGATAATATTTGTGCTGACTGCTTACTGTACCATTACTACAGCCATGCACTCAATCTGGGTCTACCAACAGGGGAAAAAGATTGTGTGTGTGTGTGTGTGTGTGTGTGTGTGTGTTTACATATAACAGGATGATACTTAGCCTTTACAAAGAAGGAAATTTGTCATTTATACCAATATGGGTAATCTGTGGATTATATTGAATGAACTATGTCAGATACAGGAAGACAAGTAACCTATGAGCTCACGCCTATGTGGCATGTATGAAAGTTGAGTTCACAGAAGTGGGGAATAAAATGAAAAACTGGGCAGATATTAGTCAAAGAAAACGGCTGCATTTTCTTTAATGAATATAATATATACAGGTAAGCAGTTTTATGTAAAGCAGAAAAGCAGACAATTAAAAGTCCCTTGTTTTTGTACAGATATAAGCAAGTCTGTGTCTTGGGCTTTGATGGTCCAGATAACCCTTATTAGAAGGAGAGCTATTGGACAGTTTTAAATAAAGAGAATGTCCCTCTTTTTTTGGATGGGCAGAATTCCATTGTACAGATTGAAGACTGAGGTGCCTCCAGGAAACTACATCTTGTTGACTACCTCCTGCTTTGACAAATCAGGTTTACAGCCCAGACAGAGGTTGGCATAGTCTACCACCAAACTTGTCAGTTCAAGGTCATGTAGGTACATTTGTTTTGTAACAGCCACTGGTGTACTTAGAGGGGAAGACCTTCACCTGAGCCGCTAGGAACTAGGAATGGACTGAGTGAGGAAACCTGTGGGAGGATGCTGCAGGAATGCCACATATCAACAGGAAGACAGCAGTTCTCTGCTAACCTCATCTTTGGGAAAGGTTCTTTACATCTCTGAGACTCTGGTTCTTTGTGACACAGATAATATCCACGTCTCTGTGTCTAAACTTTTCACTAAGAAAAATGCCATATGTAGATGTGCCAGTAAGTATAAAATGCTAGACAGTGCCCGGGTGCCATTAACATTGGAGGCTGGTCTTTTGGCTCTTCAAATCCGTTTTAAACTCAGGTCAAACTTCCATCTTTCAACTACAGGAACTCAATTGGACCAAAAACTCTAACATTAAGCTGCAGCTCCCCCTAGCTCCAGCAGACAGGGAGGCACCTGATGGACTTGAATAAGCTCTGTGGCAGATGATGGCTCCTCCGCCCCAGGGAAGGGCCCTTAACTGCATGTTGGATGCTTTCCATTTGTCCAACAGGAAAAACACTTAAGTGCTTTCTTCCATATTGGCCTGTAACATTGTTTTTATTTTAATCTCAGAATGTTGTAAAATACTGAGTTTTCTATTTAAATGTCCCTCCTCCAGATGACTTTAAATGAATGCTATTTCTACAACAGGCTAGTGGCACATGGAAGTGCAGGCCTGTGACTCCAACAATCTGAAGGCTGAGGCCAGGGGTGTCATAAGTTCAAGGCCAGCCTGGGCTACACAACAAAATCACATCTCAAACAGTAAACAAATGACAGGAAAGAGGAGGAAGAAGGGAAGGAGGAAGGGTGGGGGGAGACAGAGGGGGGGAGAGGAGGAAGAGGAGGAGGAGGAAGGATGGGGGAAGGAGGAAAACCACTAGATTCATTTAAGAAATTGTGACTCTGGCAACCTAATTCCTTAAATTGCAGTGTGAAAGCACTCTACTCACACAGAGGAAACCGGAGTTCAGCTCTTACTAGATTGCACCAAAAGCTGTTATTGGACACCTCTCTGCTCCCAAGATCCAACGCACAGGAGACCTGTGAACAGATGCAGAGTTATGTAAGGAAACACCATTGAATATTTTAATATCAGATTATGGAAATATTAGTTTGCATGGTTTAGAAAAGCCCAGATTACAAGAAAAAATAAATAAATAAAAACAATTGCTTCCCTCTTTGTATATCTCTGGGGCTCCCTTCCATCCCTTTTAGAGAAATCCTCAAGTTCAGACTCCAGTGGGTAAACTAGGTCCCACTATGGCGAGAGAGCTTGGTGGTGGTTTCGTTTTCCAGGGTACGCATTTACGAATTAATCACCAGCTTTGAGGGATTTCTTTCTAACATTCTTTTCTGTGTACGATAAGCACTATAATTCATTACACCATTGGAGGAGCCAGAGACTTTGCTAAGCCTTTCTTGGCTGTTTATCTCAAATTTAGTGTGTGTGTGCTCAATATTGGTAGTGAGCCCTGAATTATGACCTAATCTTGATTGCAGTTTCCAACCTAACGCCTCTCTCCCTTTCTGGGCTCAAAGATCCTCTCCACCCCAGTGTGCCTGACAGATCACATAGGGAGGGACTTTGATTGCATTTATCTTTCCTCTTTCAACCTAATTCAAGGAACATTCAAGACAGATCTCTCCTCACCAGCTACCCCAGCAAGGGTCCCCTGACCTCTTCTGGCCCTCCAGCTTGGAGGCCAGAGCACAGCATCCTCCCCAGGCAATGGCATTCACAAGAGGGGCGCGATAAGAGTGTCTAATCGCACGTTCCTGGCGGAGCTCGCCTGAGCCAGGTCCCCTCCCGCACCCGGGGTGAATCTCCCCCGCGTGGCTCGGGGTGCGCGCGAGACCCTTCCCTTTAAGCCAGCCTCCTCGCCCCTCTTCCCGCCCCCGCCCAGCTCTCGGGGCTGGTCTGAGCTTCCCAGAGCCATGGTTGGTCCAGGCAGGCCATCACCGGATCACCTCTTGGGGCGGCTGCGAGCCGGGGGTGGGGTGCGGTGGGGCGGTGAGGGGGGGTCCGTTCGTAGTACTCCAGGCCCTGATGTCACTGGCGCGGCAAGGACATCGCGAGGAGGAGTCGGGTTACGGGAAGGATGGGCAGCGCGGCGCACGGCCGGGGCGCACGCTCCAGCCGCGGGGGACCGTAGCGGGAAGGCAGGAACCTGCCCGCCCGGGAGGAGGCACGCGCGGCGCTGCTGCTCGCCACGCCGGGGACGTCTGCACCGACCGTGGCTCCGCTCGGCGTGCCGGGCCTGGGTGCGAGCGGAGGGTGGAGACGCCGAGGTGGGGCTCCGGCGGGCGGATGAATGAGAAGCATAATGTATTTCGGTGAGTGTTTGCTTTCCCGATGCGGTGCCGGGGGTGCCCGGCGGCTCTCCACGGAGCCGCCGACCGCTTAGAAACATCCTTAAGCTGCGGGACCGTAGGAGGCCGGTGGGCGACGGGCACCCCGGGCTGGTTCGGCGTCAACACCGCCCTTTGTGCTCCGGCTGGGGCTGGTCGTCCGCTGTGCGTGACTCTGAGTTGGAAGAGAAGACAGATCAGTGTGGGGGCGGATAAACTTTGCCTCGGTCTGTGGGCGTGAAGTTGGCTCCCTGGGCCAGGTGCAGAGATGGTTCGGCGTGGGCCAACTTGGAGGAACCGGAGGCAAAGTTCCCACGCCACGGATGCCCTGGGAGCTGCGGGCGCACGGACGTCTCCTGGTTTCTCCCCCAGTTCAGAGGCAGAGAAGGAAAACACTGTGGAGTGAGCACTGGGTAGCTGAGGTGCTAGGCGTACCAGCTCGGTGCTCCTTCTGGCCAGGAGCGGGCTAGCCGCAAACGCATGCTATTTTACCCCCCCCCAGGTCTCCGGGGCTGCCCCCCCCCCAGGTCTCCGGGGCTGCCCCCCCCCAGGTCTCCGGGGCTGCCCTGTGTGTGCGGTTTAGTCTGGGGCTGCGGTGGGAAGCTCGCAGAGGGCTTCCGCTGAGCCGCCTGCATTTGCAGAAAGCATGTGCAGGCTCAGACGTGGGCTCGGGGCTGAGCACCGCGAGGCGGCCGGGAGCTGAGCTGCACCTTTGCACCGGAACGGCGGCTCACAGCTGGGGAAGGAGGCAGAGCCCTTCTCCCCTCACTTCGGAGGAAGCGGAGGACTGAGCCGGAGCAGCCTTCCCTCCCCCCTGAAGTTATGCTTTCCTTCTGTGAGTCCCAGCGGCCGTCGTCACTGAACAGCATCTCTCTGATACTGAAAGGTCTGTGGGAGCGACTGAAAGGGACTGGGGGCAAGTGAATGCACGATGCGGATGCAATGGGTGAATTCTGGGCTCGCTTTGAAGATGTAATCAGTCTTCTTTCGGGGCAAAGAGGTGTTTAGATCCGTGGGTGGGGGCACTGTCAGTTGCCAGGATAGTATTTGTCTTGCTCTCTGGAGCCTTTGAAACATTTGAGAAAGTGTGCAAGACAGCGAGGTGCAAAAGCCAAATGTCTTTAGTTGTTTTGACGGCACTTTTGATTTCCCTATAATTTGTGTCATATTTTAAAAAGAAGCCTTAAAGTGATCAAAACGTATTTGGAAGAAGTGATCTCTATTTCATAGCCCGATTTAAGCAGAATCCAGAGTTAAGCAGCCCTGGTCATCCCGGGGTAGCTAGGGCAGGCAGAGGCACGCCTGTTTACCCAGGATGAACTGAACTGCTTCTCATGTATGTGTTTTTGATATGGAAAAACATGAAGATAATATGCCCTTGGAACATAAAATTTCAGCACCTGTAAGAAGATAGAGGGGTGGAAAAAATACTGTAAATGTAGTTTTTGATTTCAGGATTTTCCAAAAATTCCTTATGGGATTGTGAAGTAGGACTCACCAGAACAGGAGCATCTCAAAGTCTGGGTCAGAGGCTGTGTGCTGGGCTAGTGTGTGCATGATCAGAGAAGTGTGCACTGGGCTGGCTCGTGTGGACGACCGCTACACACTAGTCCAGCTGTTGGTAATGCAGGGTGATTCACAGGCTAATTAGTCTCACTGTGTAATACAAGTTTTTAATAGTAGGGATTGAAGTGTGACGTCCTACTTAAACTATCCTCTTCGTAAGACCAGTGCAGAGTTGCCCTTGGGGTCATGAGCACAGCTCTGTCTTGCCATCATCATTCTCCTCCTGCAGGAAGTGGTGTGTGCCCGGGGATGCTGGGTTATTTTTCAGGTTGTGCTGTGCAGCCCCTCCTGGACATCCAGAACCCTAAGAACCCAATTGACTGAAAACAAAATCAGCTGCCACAAGTGCCAGAAAAGACTGAGGAGAATGGCCAGGGCATCCTCAACCTTTCTACACATGCACATCATGTGTATAGACCTAAAACTGTACCCACTTCAGGCAGTTTTTCAAAATGGTCCTTCCAATTTGTGAATTAGTTGACCCTTCGTTACTTCCTTCATTTTTGAACTGCAAATGGTTTATCCAGTCAGGGACAACAGGACCAAAGGGAAAGCAGGGCTTCCTGTTCCTGGGCTTTTCTGGTAATTTTGGCAGTGGGGTGGAAGTGCCAGAAGTCTTGTATCTGTGTGCCAGTAGGGAGAGGGAGGAGCATGGTGGTGCTGCGGTAAGTGGTGGACTGATAGGCATGCGGCTCGTTCTCTCCCATAGTCATCACCTGATTTGCAAGGTGTTGCCTGTCTTTAAATACAGCTGAAGACTCCTGGTGTGATGAGGTTGGCTCAGCTTGCCTGCTTCTCCTTAAGCCCCTTCCTCCTGAGGGACAGGGTAGCTGCACTGTCAAATGTCAGCCAGAGAGAGGCGTGTGCGTGTGTGTGTGTGCGTGTGCGTGTGCGTGTGCGTGTGTGTGTGTGTGTGCGTGTGCGTGTGCATGTGTGTGTGTGCGTGTGTGTGTGTGTGTGTGTGTGTGTGTACAAGTACAAGGGTGGACTGAGTACTTAACACCAGGTCTTACCTGCATGTGTTCTCTCATGCCTAGGGGATGACTGGATCTCTTAATGACTTAAGCTCCGCTCTTATGTCCTATGGAGATTTTGGCATGGGGTTTTCAATAAGTGTCTGTCTGCACTTGCCTTTTAGTGATTTAAGAGTTTGCTGTTCAGCCGCTGTGGATACTTCTCTGACTTACTCTATCGATCTTGCATTCATTTTATGTAGTTAAATATAAGGTTCACAAGAAGAGGGGAAATCAGAGCCTGCAAAGCTGTCACTGGGTTTTACTGTAAAAGCAAGAGGAAAATTGTAAAGACTCATGAAGCCAACCTCCCTGCCCCCATAAATATTTTACAAAGTTAAAAATTACATGTGCCATGGATGAATGCCCATGAATAATTTATCCACTACTGAAAGCCAGGCACCTGGGAGACTTCTCCCCAGACTCGGGAAGAGAGGCTGTGGGTGGTTGTCAGCACAGCAGGCAGGGCTGCCAGGGCACAGAGGTGCTGAGGGCTGTGCTGGTACGAAGGGCAGATTGCCTGCTACATCCCTGCAGTCCCCCAGTGCCCAGTAGAAGCTGGCAGCTAGGCACAGTCTCCAGCTCTGGGCACCATATGTCTGAACAGCTCCCTTTACAATCTGCCCTGACGCTTGCTTGCTTGCTGGAGGGGCAGCCTCGTTGACAGCGAACATTGTAACCACACACACTGCCCTCAGTTGGCCACGGAGGTGCCACACACATCTTGCTTATGGCCATGGTGGGAGGAAACAGGAGGCTGGCTGCACATAGGAAAATCTGTATAGCTCCAAATCTGTGTGGAGACTTGAGCCATCCAAAATGGAGACTACAGCCAACCGCACCCTGAAAGTGCTGGGTCTCACTCCACGAGAATACTTCTGAAAGAAGAAAGGACGATGCACCTAAAACAAGCGAGAGACAAACCTTTGCACCCAGTGCGGATGTTACTAATAATAGTATATTAATTAAACCCAGAGAAAAGGGCAGGCAAAATTTAGAAAGTGCGACTGAACCATTCAAGTTCGGCTTGATGTTAATTGTGCATCAGCGGTGTCCTTTCAAATGACTGCAGGAAGGAGAAAAAATACTTAGTGGTGAGCCTGTCATAACACAGGCATGCTTCATCAAGGGGGCTTTAATACAACACAGCTAGGAAAACGCTGAAGGAACTCGTATCTCCCTCTTGTCACGGACACACAAGCAGTCTTTGAAGGACTTGTTTTCCCTTGGGTTGTACAGAACTAAAGTTCTCACCTCAGAGTTTGGGTTGTGATTGGATGCGAAGCTTCACCTTCAAAGCAAGGCTACAATGAGGGAAATGGTCAGAAAACAAAACAAAACAAAACAGAGGACGGGGGGAGAATCCCTCTTTTTCTGGGTGATAGAGATATTCATCTGTTTCCAGTGTGTATAAGCTATCCATTGTGCGGGGTTATGGCCTAGAGAATCTGCCTGTCCACTGGGAGATATTTCTATATTCTGTGCTACCAACAGGGCAGAGAATAATTTAGAAAGGAAGCTGTGTGTCAAAATTCCTCTCCTTACACCTTGGGGTCCTTACTGTCCTGCCTTATTACACATGGATCTCAGAGCTGGGCAGTGCAACACACCAGACCAGGGATGGACAGGTCTGTGACAGGTGTCTGCTCTCAGGAACGGTCCTGGAAAGGAACTTCAAACCCATAATGTTTTCCCCTGAACACTGTTCTCTGAATTCATATGAAGTTCTCACTTTACAAAGCCAGATTCCACATTTGATCAATGTGCCAGTAACACAGATTCTTTAATACGGCCTTAAACTTTGAGCTATTTTTTCCTGTCTTTTTTTTTCCCCCCCGTATAGGCCCTCCTAAGTTGCTATAATTATATGGAAATGAGATGAGTTTATTTAAGGGATAAGTTCCAAAATTCATGAGACAATGAGGCCTTACCAAGTTATCCTTTTGTGGGTGGTGTAATTGTTCCAAAAAACAAATGAAAAATTTAAATTAGTGGTTTCTGGCTTCTCTTCCGAAGATGTGCTCACAGCTGCTTCGACGGAGATCTCCCTTGATAAGACAAGATGTGCTGGTGTGTGTGTGTGTGTGTGTGTGCACCTTGTGTAGATACACCAATATTATTCCATACCCACAGTTTTAAATAGTTCTGAATCTTTTCGGATCATTTGAAATATTACATTTAAGTACTGACTTAATATGATAGATATTAATGTATTTTTTAGCTCAACTCTTTCCCAAGTTGAGCAATTATTATACACATTATAGGTCTTGAAAATCAAGTCATAAAGACAATTCTTAAGGCTCCTCCTGCTTGGGAAATCACAATGCTTATATAAGCAGAAATCCAGTTCTACTTTGACCTTGAGACGGGGATGTTTCTGTTTGTATTACACTGAAAAAGATGTCA